AAAACAAGGTAAGAAAATCAAGTCCTGTGACGTTTGCAGTGGCCCACTCTACGGACGGAGTGATTTTATTTACACTTAAATAATAATTGAGTATACTCAATTAAAATTTTAATATTTATTATATTTTAATATAAATTTATTAATAAAGATAATTTATTATAACTTAAAATAAAATATTTTTTCTCATAATACCTTCAAAGATTTTTCTTAAGTGTGTCTTGCATATGGTATGCAAGGTACTTACACCTTTCTATTTTATCTTTACACCTTTTTATGTATTGAGTTATACAAAAATATTTGAAAACTAGCACATTGGTGACCCGCTAAACAGGTCACTTTCCAGGTAAATGGATAAAAGAATATATTATATGACTAAAAGTGTAAATTGTCACAAAAGGTGTAATTTTTCACAGAAGGCGTAAATTTTAACAAAAGACGTAAGTAATTTCAGAAAAAGGTGTAAGTGATTTTTGAAAATTTACACTCTTTGTGAAAACTTACGCCTTTTGTGAAAACTTACACCTTTTGTGAGAACTTACACTTTTTTGTGAAAGTACTTACATTTTTCTGATAACTTACACCTTTTGTAAAATTGCTTACCAAAGGTGTAACTTTTGACAACTTACACATAATACTTACATCTTTTGTAAAACAAGTTATACATTTTCTGAAAAGTTACACCATGTGAAAAATTTTATTTCATAAAATTTACACTGAAAACTTACACATTTTCATGAAAATGCTTACAGCTTTTCTAAAAAGTTACTACTTTTGTGAAATAATTTTTTTGATAAAATTTATACATTTTATTTGAACTTACACCTTTTCTGAAAACAAAACTTACACCTTTTGTGAAGCTACTTACATCTTTTGTGAAATAACTTACATTGTTTCTGAAAAATTACACATTTTGTGAAATAATTTATTTCATAAAATTTACACATTTGACATTACACCCCTTCGTGGAAATAGTTAAACATTTTTTGAAAAGTTATTTTGTGAAATAATTTTTTTCCTAAGATTTACCCATTGTATTGGAACTTACACATTTTGTAAAAACGAAACTTATACCTTTTGTGAAGCTACTTACATATTCTGTGAAATAACTTACATTATTTCTGATAAGTTACATCTTTTGTGAAATAATTTCTTTCATAACATTTATACCTTAGTACACATTTTTTTGAAAATTTACACCCCTTCGTGGAAATAGTGACACCTTTTTTGAAAAGTTACTCCTTTTATGAAACAATTTTTGGCATAAGATTTATACCTTTTCTTCGAACTTACACCGTTTGTAGAAGGCCAACTGAAACTCATTTCACAAAAGGTGTAAAATTATGAAAAAAATTATTTCACAAAAGAAGTAACTTTTCAAAAAATGTTTAAGTACTTCCACGAAAAGTTATAAATTTTCAAAAAAGGTCTAAGTTTTAGCAAAATGTGTAAATGTTATAAAAGAAATTATTTCACAAAAGACGTAACTTTTCAGAATTAGTGTAAGTTATTTCACAAAAGATGTAAGTAACTTCACAAAAGGTGTAAGTTTTATTTTTACAAAAAGTGTAAATTTTATGGAAAAAATTATTTTACAAAAGGAGTAATTTTTCAGAAACGGTATAACTATTTCCACGAAAAAATATAAATTTTCAAAAAAGGTATAAATTTCATTTTCATGAAAGTTTCATTTTGTAAGTTTCATTTTTACAAAAGGTATAAATTTTATGAAAAAATTATTTCACAAAAGGAGTAACTTTTGAGAATTGTTCCTTTTATGAACATACACATTTTCTGAAAATTATTCCTTTTATGAACATACACCTTATTTGAAAAAATGTGTAACTATTTCCACGAAAATGTGTACATTTTCAGAAAAAATGTAAGTTTTAGCAAAATGTATAAATTTTATGAAAGAAATTATTTCACAAAAGGAATAATTTTTCAAAAATTGTGTAAGTTATTTCACAATTGATATAAGTAGCTTATGTTTTATTTTCAGTGTAAGTTCCATTAAAAGTGTAAATTTTATAAAAAAAATTATTTCACAAAAGGAGTAACTTTTTTGAAAATTATTCCTTTTATGAACATACACCTTTTCTGAAAATTATTCCTTTTATGAACATACACCTTTTCTGAAAAAAGGTGTAACTATTTCCATGAAAATGTGTACATTTTCAGAAAAAATGTAAGTTGTAGCAAAATGTATAAATTTTATAAAAGAAATTATTTCACAAAAAGAATAATTTTTCAAAAATTGTGTAAGTTATTTCACAATAGATATAAGTAGCTTATGTTTTGTTTTCAGTGTAAGTTCCACTGAAAGTGTAAATTTTATAAAAAAATTATTTCAGAGAAGGAGTAAGTTTCAGAAAATCTATCGATCTTGGTCTTTCTGTCGATCTCTGTCGATCTCCGTCTCTCTCTCTGTCGATCTCCGTCGATCTCGGTCTATCTCTCTCTGCCGATCTCTCTTTGTCGATCGCCCTCCCAAACGCTTCGTCTCTCTCCGGAATTCTAGAGAGAGAAACACCAAGCCCTCCCAAACGCCTCTTCTCTCACACATTGCCATTATTTGAACAACACAAATACAGTTTGATTTGATTGTAGGAGCTCTTCGCAATTTTCGTTCCTCTCTCTCTACCCGAAAACATCAACAGATCTGGACTTGGGTAACTTCTTGGCTCCAATTCGATCAGGTTTGATATCTTCTTCTCTCTTTTAGATCTGGGTTTGCTTCAATTCTGAATTGTGGTGATTGATCGATTGTTTCAGATCTAGGTTTGATTCGTTCTCGAGTTTTTGGGTCTCAATTTTGTTGTTTTAACACAGATTGAGCTCAGATTTAGCTATATTAATCATTTTTGTGATCATTTTCATTCATTGATCGTCTCATTTTTTTGTTTGATATGTTAATAGGGGAATTAGATTTGTAAAATAGGACTTGGAATTGATTTTCCCCTTGACAAATAGGACTTGGAATTGATTTTTAAGATGTTTTTCTACCTCAGCAGTTTCAATATTACAAGTCATTGATCTGCTCTTTGTTTTGTCCTTCTGTTTCTTAGATAAAAAGGTGATTGTAGAACTTATGGTATTAGCTCATTGGATCTGCTAAATATATAGCATTAATGAAAAATCTTTTTCATGTTGTGTTTGGAAGCTCCAGTTGTTATGAAGTGATGTTCCTATAATCTAGATATCTAGTGTGATTTTTGAATTTTGATTTGATGATTCGTCCTGTTCAGGGAGCTAAAATTGCAGATCAACATGTATGCATATCATGCTGGGAGACATATATTGATGAATCAGATCCTTGGAATAACCCGTCATAGAAGCTTGGAGAAGAAAATAGCTCAACGGTATGAACCTTCTCTTTTCCCTATTTGTAGGTAAAGTCATGAGTTGTCATGAATTGTTTAGTCTTGCTTAAAAGAGTTCCATTAAAGAGGTAAAACAAGTATCTTTTGGCCATCTTTTACAACATAGTGAACAAACATTCAATATTTGGGAATCGCCGGATATTATGAAGTTTGGAAATTATTCCACAAATAGTAGCTTGTAGAAGTAGCTAGCATAACTCTTACATCACTAAGTAAAAAGAGGTTATTTTTTAATTATTGAGCTATGTTACATGGACCATACGAGTATTGCGTACAGCCAGTGTTGCAGCTGATTTGGGTAGTCACGGTGTTAAAAAGTGAATGTTTTTGGTCAAGAAAACCCATTTTCTGGTAATGATTCTTGACTTCTTTAAATTGTTCATATTAGATAGATTCACATATAAATCAGGAGAGTTTTGTTGTATATCAACAGAGTATTTTGTTTGATAATAAGTTACTAATTGTGCTTGATGTGATATGATCATGTGGGTTCATTTGCAAAATGAGAAACCAAATATTGAATGGCCAAAGTCTTTCCAGAGGTGTTTCTATTTCTCTTAGAAGTTAATGTTTATTGGGAAGAATCAGTATTCTCACTATTGCATGTTGCTGTGAACCAACAGATACTGAACGATGTTGATGGAAAAGATGGATATTCTACGGTCTTGGCACAATAAAATATTACCACATATCTCAAGGCATATGTCGACAAAATCTTTTGTAGAAGATAAAATATCTTCATTACTGCATATTCTGCCACCCCCAACTCTAAGGCCGGTAATTCACCTATATTATTCCTTTGTCTTCCTTTTGTGTTTAGTTGTGCCTGCCTTGTTGCTTTCCTTTTATTTTTATATGATGTGTATAACACTAATTATAATGAATTCCATATCGCCCTTGTCCGTTGCCCTTGAGAGGCTCATTTCTTTTGTGCCCATCCATACCACAGTGTGGCTCTCATGGACAACTTCTCCTTGACAAATAGGACTTGTGTAGACACCCCATTTTTGACCGACCTTAAGACTCAGACGTCACTGATTGAGCGCTTGGTGATATTGCATAATGTGCTCGTTCAGAAGTTTCAGAGTCGCGGCCGTGAGCCCTGCCTCCGGACTTCCGAACCCTCTTCTGTGCCTTGCCTCGGTTTGCGAACCAGACTCGGTTTTCTCTGTTTCTTTTCCTGAGGGGAGGGAGAGGTCCAGTAGACCATCTCTCAGTGGCCGTGGGCTACATTTTGTGGCCGCAGGCCATTTTGCCCATTTCGGAGTCCGGTTTCCGATTTTTCGGGACCGTTGGCCGTGTGCCTCGGTTCGGGACCGCCTAACCGTCTCCGTTTGCTCCAATTTTGGCATACATCTTATTTACTCCCTTTTGAGGGACACTGGGGTCTGAGAAACCCACTTCGGGGCCGAATGCCACTTTCAGTGCTTAACAGCCCATTTCCGGGACCCCGAACTGCGCGTTTTGGCCCCCGAGCATTCGTTTTGCATCGGTTTTTGTTCATTTTTGGTAGGAACCTCTGTTTTATCACCAGGAAGACCGTAGAAGGGTGGGAGGCCAGCAATTATCTCAACAACCAGTTTTTACTTCTCCGACGCCCTCCGATGCCCGTTTTTCACACTTACGCTCATGCTTAAACACTCTTCAGTTTCTCCACATGAAGAAGGAAACCCCCAATATGGTATGATATTCAGCTGATCATGCTCTAGCATACTTTTTGTTAGTTAATAGTGGTTGAACATATATTGCTATGTTATATTCAATTAAGGGTTTGAGGAAGATGAAGTCTTTCTCATGAAAAGTTTCTTGGGATTTTTCTTGATACATGTTTACATTCTTGATTGATCTCCTACAAACATAATATGGTTTATTGGTTCTTAGTTGGAGATCAGTTCTCAGATGGTTGGCCGAAAGGACACCTCAAAAAGTGTTTTTGATGTATGGGCAGAGGTAAAACAATAATCTATTAAATTGTTTAATTTTCATTTTTGGCATTATCAATTTGCATATAAATTATTTCTTATTATTACTATTACTATTTTTTTTTGGATAGATTTTTCAAAAGAGGAAAGTAAAACGAGAAAGGAAGTTAACTAGTGGCTGCAGCAGCATCTCCAATGAATTTGACTTTCTGCACTCCATGATTTCTAACCAGTAGGTTAAGAACTCCAGTTAAAACTTTCATTTTTTCTTTCATCATTTCTAGTGAAAGGTCATCTATCTTGACTGTTCAATGATTGCCAATTATCCAGCGGTGACTACGATTTAATTTTAGATGGGATCCATGAAAAAAGTTTGCCACTTCACTATCATGATCCAGTTATGTGAAAGACTGTAAGTCATAATTGCAATAAAAACCTTTTGTCTAACTTATGACTTCATTCAATCTAGGGAATTAGCTAAATATGTTATTTTGAGATATTTGTCTAACATAAAATGTAAATGAAGGTCAAATGCTTGTGTAGTCTTCGTGTTTCCGATTTATTTCATCAATATATTATGTGTACACAACGGATGTCTTGGGCACATATGAACTTTTGGCCTTCCATTATTAAGGATAAATTTCAAGTTAAAATCTTTAATTCCTCATTTTACATTCTGTAGTTTATCAACCCAGTATTGCAATCACAGTGCGTAGTCTGGTAGCACAACATGAGAAACCAAATATTGAATGGCCAAAGTCTTTCCAGAGGTGATTCTATTTCTCTTAGAAGTTAATGTTTATTGGGAAGAATCAGTATTCTCACTATTGCATGTTGCTGTGAACCAACAGATACTGAACGATGTTGATGGAGAAGATGGATATTCTATGGTCTTGGCACAATAAAATATTACCACATATCTCAAGGCATATGTCGACAAAATCTTTTGTAGAAGATACAATATCTTCATTACTGCATATTCTGTCACCCCCAACTCTAAGGCCGGTAATTCACCTATATTATTCCTTTGTCTTCCTTTTGTGTTTAGTTGTGCCTGCCTTGTTGCTTTCCCTTTATTTTTATATGATGTGTATAACACTAATTATAATGAATTCCATATCGCCCTTGTCCGTTGCCCTTGAGAGGCTCATTTCTTTTGTGCCCATCCATACCACGGTGTGGCTCTCATGGACAGCTTCTCCTTGACAAATAGGACTTGTGACAATTGTCGGTATGTAATTAGGACGCGTAGACTTGGAGTTAGACCCAAAAATGCCTTAAACTTAGTCGAAAAATGGCGTTTCGGGGTCGAAAATTCAAAATATCCCCAGAACCACCGTGTGGCTATCACGGATAGCTTCCCCTTGACAAATAGGACTTGTGACAACTGAGGGAATGTAATCAGGACGCGTAGGCTTGGAGTTAGACCCGAAAATGCCTTAAACTTAGCTGAAAATAAGGTTTCAGGGTCAAAAATTCAAAACAGCCCTCGAACCATCGTGTGGCTCTCACGGACAGCTTCCCCTTGACAAATAGGACTTGTGACAACTGACGGAATGTTATTAGGATGTGTAGGCTTGGAGTTAGACCCAAAAATGCCTTAAACTTGGTCGAAAAAGGGCATTTCGGGGTCGAAAATTCAAAACAGTCCCCGAACCACTGTGTGGCTCTCACGGACAGCTTCCCCTTGACAAATAGGACTTGTGACAACTGACGGCATGTAATTTAGACCCATAGGTTGGGAGTTATAGCCGAATACGCCTTAAACTTAGTCGAAAGAGGGCGTTCCGGAGGCGAAAATTCAAAATAGCCCCCAAACCACCATGTGGATCTCATGGATAGCTTCCCCTTGACAAATAGGACTTGTGACAGCTGTCGGAATGTAATTAGGACGCGCAGGCTTGGAGTTAGACTCGAAAATGCCTTAAACTTAGTCGAAAGAGGGCGTTCCGGGAGCGAAAATTCAAAACAGCCCCCGAACCATCGTGTGGATCGCATGGACAGCTTCCCCTTCACAAATAAGACTTGTGACAATTGTCGGAATGTAATTAGGATACATAGGCTTGGAGTTAGACTCGAAAATGCCTTAAACTTAGTCGAAAAAGGGCGTTTCAAGGTCGAAAATTCAAAACAACCCCAAAACCACCATGTGGCTGTCACAGACAGCTTCCTCTTGACAAATAGGACTTGTGACAATTGACTGAATGTAATTAGGACACGTAGGGTTGGAGTTAGACCCAAAAACGCCTTAAACTTAGTCGAAAAAGGGCGTTTTAGGATCGAAAATTCAAAACAGCCCCCGAACCACCGCGTGGTTCTCACGGACAGCTTCCCCTTGACAAATAGGACTTGTGACAACTGACGGCATGTAATTCGGGCTTATAAGTTAGGAGTTAGAGCCGAATACGTCTTAAGCTTAGTCGAGAGAGGGCATTCCAGGGGCGAAAATTCAAAACAGCCCCCGAACCACCGTGTCGCTCTCATGGACAGCTTCCCCATGAAAAATAAGACCTGCGAATGTAATTCGAACCCATAGGTTGGGAGTTAGAGGCGAAAACGCCTTAAACTTAGTTGAAAAGGGACGTTCTGAGGGCGAAAATTCAAAACAGCCCCCGGGAGGGGAAAACTTGGGAGTAGGAGACATAGGTTGGTAGTTAAAGTTGGGGACATAGGTTGGTAGTTAAAGTTGGAGACATAGGTTGGGAGTTAAAGTTGAAAATGCCTTAAACTAAACTGAAAAATTACATTTCGGGAGGGGAAAACTTAGAAGAAACTTGTCTGGACATGCAACATACGATTACGACTATAATTATACAATTTTGAAAACATTATATACATTCGTGTTTTATATAATTTTCTTTTATAATTTGAAATGATAATGTTATTCAATCAATACTAATGGTTAATTTTATTTTTACAGATGGTTTTTGGCATGGAAATGTAAATATTCTTTATTTGTGTGCGGAAGACATTGCTTTTTTTTATAATCTGTTATTATGTTGTCCTTTGTTTTTTTGTGGATTACTATTGTTTGTACAGATAACTATTGGTGTCATACAAATTAGTTTTGGCATAGAACATATTACATTTGGCGTGGTATACATTACCATTTGACATGGTATTGTGGATATTTCTTTTTTTGTGTACGAAAGACATAATTTTTGTATAATCCTCTATTTTGTGTGGAATTATTATTTTAAGTTAGATTATGCTTGGTTTGTATGGAATGACAAGAAAGACATATGGACAACTTCGAAAGATGATGTCATGACAAGAAAGACATATGGACAACTTCGATATTTTGGTGGAGGGCTAAGTATTGGGTGGTCTAAGAGAAGTGCTTCCAAGGTACGGATATGTGGGTGATGTGTTTATTGCTTGGTGCATGTTGATTGATCTGATGTATAGATTTGACCAGGGAGGGACCTAGGATTTTAAGGGAAATATATACTAACAGAACTTTTAAAATGTATGGATTACAACATATATAATAAACATGTTTGCTTCTATCTACTGTGAGTTAGAAAAAATTGCAATTGTAAGACAATATTTCTATTGAAATGAGGCATCTTGAGTTGTATTCCACATTCTTTCATGTCATTAAATGAATCTATGGTAGAATAGACATTAAGATCCCAAACAATGTCTTTTTGAATGAATATGATCAAGTAACTTGCTAACTTCTCATTCACCTTCTTTTCTTCTTTGCAGCCTACAGAATAATGCTTGTAATTAACACTAATGGTTTTGATAAACTATTTTCTTGGGATATATTTTAGCCAATTTTGTATTAAAATTTTTCAAATTTGACCCCTATGTTTAATAGATATGGAGGGCAGTCACTTAATTTTTTTTAAAAAAAATCAGAGGGGACAATCATTTAAAATTAAAAAAAAAAAAAAAACTAGTGGGGATGAGCTTTTATAATTTGGAGATAAGTAATAGCTAATACTATTGTGTTAAAGTTTTTTAATTATTTTTATTTTTTAAATCGTAGGGATTGCCCCCCTCTTGGTCCATCCTTAGTTTTGATGATGTGATTGTCTTGTCATATGGAGTTCCATAATGGTTTCAACATTTGGCTGATGGCTTGATGAAGAAGGAAAAATATAATCCGATCTTGCTTTTTATTTGGATTGATGCAGATGATGGAACTTATGCAATGAAGAAAGTTCTCATTCAGAATAGTGAGCAGTTAGACTTGGTGAGGGAGGAGATCTGTGTTTCATCCTTGTTTACCCATCCCAATCTGCTTCCACTTCTTGATCATGCCATAATTGCATTGATCTGATGTATAGTTTTGACCAGGGAAGGACCTAGGATATTAAGGGAAATATATACTAACAAAACTTTTAAAATGTAAGCATTACAACATGTATAATAAGCAGGTTTGCTTCTAGCTACGGTGAGTTAGAAAAAATTGCAATTGTAAGACAATATTTCTATTGAAATGAGGCATCTTGAGTTGTATTCCACATTCTTTCATGTCATTAAATGAATCTATGGTAGAATAGACATTAAGATCCCAAACAATGTCTTTTTGAATGAATATGATCAAGTAACTTGCTAACTTCTCATTCACCTTCTTTTCTTCTTTGCAGCGTACAAAATAATGCTTGTAATTAACACTAATGGTTTTGATAAACTATTTTCTTGGGATATATTTTAGCCAATTTTGTTTTAAAATTTTTCAAATTTGACCCCTATGTTTAATAGATATGGAGGGCAGTCACTTAATTTTTTTAAAAAAAAATCAGAGGGGACAATCATTTAAAATTAAAAAAAAAAAAAAAACTGGTGGGGATGAGCTTTTATAATTTGGAGATAAGTAATAGCTAATACTATTGTATTAAAGTTTTTTATTTATTTTTATTTTTTAAATCATAGGGATTGCCCCCCTCTTGGTCCATCCTTAGTTTTGATGATGTGATTGTCTTGTCATATGGAGTTCCATAATGGTTTCAACATTTGGCTGATGGCTTGATGAAGAAGGAAAAATATAATCCGATCTTGTTTTTTATTTGGATTGATGCAAATGATGGAACTTATGCAATGAAGAAAGTTCTCATTCAGAATAGTGAGCAGTTAGACTTGGTGAGGGAGGAGATCTGTGTTTCGTCCTTGTTTACCCATCCCAATCTGCTTCCACTTCTTGATCATGCCATAATTTCAATTAAGGTAATCCGTATTAATTATTGGAAGCTATGAAAGCCTTTTGGCAATTCAAAGCACAAGTTTATCAGATTCAGATGTAAGGCTAGTTGTGTTGTGTTAAGGTTTTTCAAGCATATGTCACAGTTGAGCACAACTAACCAATGTATCATGGATATATCACAGCATTCTCACAATTGCATGTTGCTGTGAACCAAAAGATGCCGAACGATGTTGATGGAAAAGATGGATATTCTACGGTCTTGGCACAATAAAATATTACCACATATCTCAAGGCATATGTCGACAAAATCTTTTGTAAAAGATACAATATCTTCATTACTACATATTCTATCACCCCCAACTCTAAGGCCGGTAATTCACCTATATTATTCCTTTGTCTTGTTTTTGTGTTTAGTTGTGCCTGCCTTGTTGCGTTCCTTTTATTTTCATATGATGTATAACACTAATTATAATGAATTCCATATCGCCTTTGTCCCTTGCCCATGAGAGGCTCATTTCTTTTGTGCCCATCCATACCCCCATCCAAACCAGGCACTCTATGACCTTGTCTAGCCCCATTGTTGCAATTAGGTAAGGGGTTGATCCAACAATTGGGTTGGGAAACCTGTAAATTCAAAAGATTTATTTTTTTGATAAGTGAAATTTATTAAGAAGAACACCAGAAAAAGGGATGCAACCCATACACAAAGTAGAAAACAAGCATTTTGCCTCAACTAAGCACCCCAAGAGAAGGCCTACGTGAAAGCAGAGATACTAGAAGGAAATCAATCTATACACATTCCATCACTCAAATCAGTCTATATACACATTCTTTACTTACTGGTTTTCTCTTGTTTTCTTTCTTTCTTTTTAGAATGATGAAAAACTTTGGATTTTCTTAATGGTATGGTCTGAAACAGTCTGCTGTCTTTTTCTTTAGGTGTCTGTGCACTTACTATCAGAGAAAGAGAGGAATGATATGGCTCAGTTAGTGAATACAATGGTTTCCTGTTGTATTACATATAAAAACCTGAAATCTGATCCTCTACCCAGTACCTCAAGACATGATGCAGTTTCAGATACTTCAATGCTCTTTCATTTGATCCTCAAATTGGTGACTTAATAAACTTCAAGGTTAGTGTTGTTGCTTTTGTGCTATCAAATCTGATACGGACCCATAAACTAGCTTCCCTTTGGCAAATACGACTTGTGACAATTGGCAGAATGTAATTAGAACGCGTAGGCTTGGAGTTAGACCCAAAAACGCCTTAAACTTAATCAAAAAAGGGCGTTTCAAGTTCAAAAATTCAAAACAGCCCCCGAACCATCTTGTGGTTCTCACGGATAGCTTCCCCTTGACAAATAGGACTTGTGACAACTGACGGCATGTAATTCGGACCCATAGGTTCGGAGTTAGAGCCGAATACGCCTTAAACTTAGTCGTAAGAGGGCGTTCCGGGGACGAAAATTCAAAACAGCCCCCGAACCACCGTGTGGATCTCACGGACAGCTTCCCCTTCACAAATAGGATTTGTGACAACTGTCAGAATATAATTAGGACGCGTAGGCTTGGAGTTAGACTCGAAACTGCCTTACACTTAGTCAAAAAAGGACGTTTCGGGGTCAAAAATTCAAAACAGCCCCAAAACCACCATGTGGCTGTCACGGACAGCTTCCCCTTGACAAATGGGACTTGTGACAATTGACAGAATTTAATTAGGACGCGTAGGCTTGGAGTTAGACCCGAAAACGCCTTAAACTTAGTCGAAAAAGGGCGTTTTAGGGTCGAAAATTCAAAACAGCCCCCGAACCACTATGTGGCTGTCACAGACAGCTTCCCCTTGACAAATAGGACTTGTGACAATTGATGGAATGTAATTAGGATGCGTAGGCTTGGAGTTAGAGCCGAGAATTAGGCGTAGGCCACTTCCAAGACTCACGTACGTTTTTTGATGTGGCTGAGGAATACATGATACTGCCTTTCCTTGAGGATACCATGGAGGCAGGTGGCGATCATGATGGCAGAACATGTGAGGACACCATTATAGATTCAGATGATTTAAGCTTGTATCTTGCAATCCATCAGTTGAGATCCTGCAATGAGGAACCTGATGTGAATCCCTACTCAGATTCAGATCAATTAGAGTGCTTTGATCCACACATGTTTATCAGAAATCTACCTGACCTACCAGATGTGGCGCCAAATTTTTGCCCCAGTACATTGCTAAATGAAACACAGAAAATGAAGTCCACTACCCTAGTACTGGATTTGGATGGTAAGAAAATTGAACTCCTTTGAACTGTTTACTATTAATCTTGATATTATTTCATTTCATCTTATCTAGTTTATTTCTCGGTTATGTCAATATAATATTTATGATCCATACCTATAGTGAACTTTCAACTTCGGGTGTACTTGTATTTCTACAAATCATTTTAAAGAATTTTTACATAAGTTGATGCTTCCAAAGGTTGGTCACACTAGCTTTCATTTGTGCAGAAACACTAGTCCACTCTACGTTGGAACATTGTGAAGATGCGGATTTTAGGTTTCCAGTCTTTTTCAACATGAAAGAGCACAATCTATGTAAAACAGAGGCCTTACCTTCAGATGTTCCTAGAGAGGGTTGCTGAGATGTTTGAAATTGTGGTGTTCACAACTAGTCAAAGCATCTATGCAGAACAGCTTCTGGATATACTGGATCCAGAGAGAAAACTTATCTCTCATTGAGCTTATCGTGAATCATGCATTTTTTTTAGATGGAAGTTACGCCAAGGACTTAACAGTTTTAGGTGTTGATCTTGCAAAAATTGCTATAATTGACAATTCTCCTCGGGTAGATTTCCAGCCCATTGACTTTCACGTGTCCTTTGTATTGACTTTCACGTATCCTTTGTAAAGAATATTTGGTTGATAATTGTTACAGGGTACATATATACTTACGATTTTGTGTATGTATATGTGTATGTGAATGTGAATGTGAATATGAATGTGAATGTGGATGTGGATGTGGATATCGATGTATTTTATTTTATAAAATATAAATAATTTATACAGGGAATGAATTAATAAAATACATATTGATTTTATGAAAATAATTTTATTGCGACAATAATAAACCGTCGCAAATGTAATCATAATTTCTGTCCATTTTATTAGCGACGGTTTAAACTGTCGCAAATATGAAATTAATTTAATTATATTTTTTTGTGACGCTTTAGACTGTTGCTAATAACACTTTTTATGAAGGTTTAAACTGTCGCAAATACGATATTAATTTAATTATATTTTTTTGCGACGTTTTAGACCGTCGCTAACAATACTTTTCGCGACGTCAAATATCGTCACTAAAAAAGTTTTGGCGACGACAATCAATATCGTCACTAAAAGTGAAGTTTTTCCCCCTTTTTTGTGTCAGGTTAAACCATTGCAAAAACTATTGATTGGCCGTTGCTACAAGATTGCGACGGTTTGTAACCGTCGCAAATACTTTTTGTCACGCCCCCTTCGGCCACCCCCCATTTCCCGTCGCAAAAAGTCTTTTGCGACGATATATGAACCTTTTGCGACGTTTAAGACCGTTGCAAAAGCTCTGGTTTTTAGTAGTGCTGGTGGGATGGAATATAAATTAACAATATTTTTGTGTCTATATGATCATTTAATTGTTATGCATTTAATTTATGAGTTCTATGTTATGAATTCAGCTGTAGTTAAACTGGTGCTATAGCACAGTTGCTTACTTTTAGAAAAATTCCTGACTTAAATTCTTAAAATTTCTGTTGCACGGTGTTCTTTATGCAATTAGCATCACTAATTTGTCCAACTGTTGCAGGGTGTTATTTTTCAATTAGAAGATAATCGAGTTCAAGTAATTTTTCAATATTCTTGGAGCTGATTATTTTGTCAATTAATGTGCTCTTTGTATCCATTTTTGTTTTGGCATCCAAGGTAGTCAACTAATATATTGATGTATATTTTTGCAGGTAATGTTGAGGGAGTAGTTGATATGATTGAGCGGGTGATATTGAGAGCTAAATTGTTTTTTTTGAGTACTCGAATATATTAGTATTTTGTATAAATACTTTTAAGGATGGTTTATGTATATTTGTTTTGCATGTATAGAAGCTAAAATTTGTATGCACACTTTTTTTTTTTGTGAAGAAAGTTAATTTTGTTGAGGGAAGTGATGGAAAATAATACATGAGTATTGCGTATATCACTTTACATTTATTGTATATAATATTTGAATATATATATATATATATATATGAGAATATAGGTTGCTAAAACATTGTAGTTTTTTTTTGAATTAATTTTTTTGCGACGGAAAGAAGATGGTCGCTAATGTATTATAAGCATTTTCTTAATTTTTTTTTTTTTTTTGACGGCTTCACATTAGTCACCATATAGCGACCCCGGTCTTTTCCCTTTAGATTATTGTATCTGGACTTAGGTTCCGTGGATCCTGTCATTATATTGGTTGAGTTAGTTGTTTTGATTTGATAGTACATGTAAACATTCAAGCCTAGGGCTTTACTTGTATTTGAGTTAGAACTCATATTTTTGTGTCCAAGTGTTGGCTTGGAAAGATGTAAGCCCGTAGGGCATTTTAATTTGATGTTACATGTAATGCTTTTATTTAGTAATACTCTGATGAATGAGATAATGAATTGTTTTCTTTAAATATTGCATGTAAATGATAAATATATAATGGGCTTATTTTGAGGACGTGACACACCATAAGTAGATTAGGCGGTTGCAAATAGATTGCGATTGTTTTGCGGTTGCAAAAAGTATTTGCCACCCCCACATTCGCTACCCCCATTTGCCGTCGCAAAAGGTCTTTTGCGGCTGTCTTCTTATTATTTGCGATGGCTTGTAGCGGTCGTAAAAAAGTACTTTTTTTAGTAGTGTTATAACATGTTACAGCTTAGCTTTTGACGTGGTACAGATTAATTTTGATGCGGTACATATTACCTTTTGATGTGGTACTGATTACTTCTTTGGCATGGTACATATTACCTTTTGGCATAGTTTTTGGTGGTACAGATTAACTTTTGGATATTAATTTTGTTTAATCCTCTGTTATGTATGGAATTATATTTTTCATGTTGGATTATACTTTGGTTTGTATGGAATTTGTATTTCATTTATAATTTGACGTTAAATATTATTTTTTTTGATAGTTGAAAGTTAAATGTGTGCATATTGTGGAATGGTTGCTAATTTGATCAGTATATGGATTATTTTATTTATATACAGAGTACAGGATGCACTAATAATGGAATAAATACAGGTGGTCGATAAATTAAATTAAAAAAATTATAAAATTTTTGGCAACTAAATACTTTGATAGCAAAAAATGCAAACAAAGGTTTTTCGTGACTAAATACTTAGTAGTAAAGAAGATGGCACAAAAGACTACCCCACCACCACCACCATTATGAAACCACCATTGCTATTACCACCACCTTCATCATTTTCATTGTTATCATAAAACATACCATTATTTCAACTAGTGAAATTTCATTATTTTTAAATACTGTAATTTAACCTTAATATGTAGGTGAAATTATTACAAAAATGAAATTTCTAGTAAAAAAGTAAAAATTATAAAATTAAAGGCAAAGACGATCTAGCGAGTAAATAGAAAACTTATGAGTTAGAGAGAGATGTTACCAGTGGTTTCGTTGGAGCAACAAGTGATTGTCACTATATTTTTAAGTCTATTTCATTATCTTCAACTAGTGAAATTTCATTCTCTTCAAATAGTTAAATTTAGCCTTAATGTTTAGGTGTAATTTAACTATTAGCAAAGTGAAATTTCTAGTAAATGAGTAGAACTTATAAAATTAAATGCCAAAGATGGAATAATGAGTAAATTAGTATATTTATTGAAGGGTTTAATTGTATCATTTTATAATTTAGGTATTAAAGTAATAGTTCGTGACAGTTTCAGAGAGGGGGATGTAAAGTGAGACTATATGCTAGTTTCAGTGGAGATGAGTAAATTTATACCTCATGATAACTTTAGAAAGGTCAAATACTAAAGGGGGTATGGGACATTTTCGTATGGCGGAAGAGAGACCTACAAAGATGTAGAATTGCAAAAATCACGAGTTCAATGAGAGAAAAGTATGATTTCAACCCTTTGACAATTGCCTCTACAAATTTTAATTTTTTTATCGACAAAATAGAGACAGAGAGATATAAAGAGAAAGGTAGAAAAAAAAAGGATGTTCAATTATTTATTTATGACAATCATAAGACAGAGTTTGCATGGTGCTGGATTGTTATGAGACAGAGTTTGTATGGTGACGGACAATCGTTATGGATATTCAATTATTTATTTTTGACAATAAAAAATAATATATCTTTTTTGGGCTTGGTTTCTCTCTAGTCCGTAATCAGATTGGAGGTAGCGTTGGGCTCGCGAGGGCCTATCACAGGTCCCGTTTTGATAATTTGAGCCATTCAATGTGTAGAAGTCACCGAGTACTATATGTTTGTAAAAAATTACATTGATCGGATATCGATAACCATCTCATCGGATCAAATTTATGTCAATTGTTTATTTTTTCACCGTTCATTTTTTTATATACAAAACTGATTTGATCACATAGCTATCGATATCTAATTAACGTGATGTTTTACAAGCATATAATACTCGACGATTTCTCATGCCTCTTTCTCTCCCTCTCTCTCACACAACTACTTGCGACGGCCATGGTCACTGCTACTGGCGCAACCATAAATCACAGCTGTAGCTCTTGCAATTGGTTAGGCACGTAACTAACATGAAATTTCTTTAATGTTAATATTACCAAGTTTTAATTTTATTTTATAATTATTAAACAAACAAAAAAAATTAAGATAAATTACTAATAGGTCTTACTTTTGGGACTTATTACCCATAAGTCTTATTGATAAATTTATCAGTCTTGTAGATGAATAAATCTACTTAACATGACTATTGGTAAGTGACTAAAAAAATTATAAACTAACTATAACAGTTCAAATAATTATTTTATTAAATTATTAATTTAAAATGTTAAATTACTTTAATGTTAATATTAATTAAATTTGTTACTATTTGTAATAACTATTAATAATTAAATAATAAATCATTAAGAACATAATACTAATTATTTTTAAATATAATTATTATTTATGGATTAAAATCATAAAATTCTCTAAATTTATTTTTGCATTTAAAATATTAATTAAACTTTAATAAAGGTAAAATTACAAACATAAATAATACAACTTAAAAAAAAATATAAATTAAGACCAATTTTGTTCCAAATGTAAATTTCTTCTCAATATTTGAAACAAACCCTCCAAAATTTTACCTACATTCAAATTCCCTCCAAAATTTTACCTACATTCAAATTCCCTCCTAAAATTTGGCTAAATTTGTACTCCTTCCCAAACAAAAAAAAAAACAAGAGCAAAAACAAGCTGGAGAGAGAGACAGAGAGATGCGTTTGAGAGAGAAAGAGCGAAGACGAAGAAGAGAACATGAAGAGAAGATGGAGGGAAGAGTAGTCATTCGGAGCGACAGCTTTGCTTGCGATGGCCATTGCTCCGTCCGGTCGATGAAGACCCCCCTCCAAAATTTTACCTACATTCAAATTCCCTCCTAAAATTTGGCCTAAATTTGTACTCCCCCCCAAACAAAAAAAAAAAACAAGAGCAAAAACAAGCTGGAGAGAGAGACAGAGAGATGCGTTTGAGAGAGAAAGAGTAAAGACGAAGAAGAGAACATGAAGAGAAGATGGAGGGAAGAGTAGTCATTCGGAGTGACAGCTTTGCTTTCGATGGCCATTGCTCCGTCCGGTCGATGAAGACCCACAAACAAAGCAGACGAAGCCATCTCACCTCTCCCTCCGGCCGGAGCTCTCGTACCTCTTCCTTGCATCGCCCAATTTCAGGTACATGTTCAGATATTACGGTTTCGAGTTATGATTTGAGGCTTTTCAATTTCAAAATTAGGGTTTAGGGGTTTTCAATTTCACAGGTCCCTCTCTATCGATCTTTCTCCCTCTCTGTCGATCTCAGTCTCTCTCTATCGATCTCGACCGCAAATCACAGGTTTCTCTCTCTCTTGGTCTTTCTCCCTCTCTGTCGATCTCGGCCACAAATCACAGGCTTTTCTCTCTTTCTCTCTAGGTCTTTCTCCCTCTGTCGATTTTCAGTAATTTATAGGGAAATTATGATTTTTGCTTTTGGTTTAATCTAAAATTGACACTTTGAACAGATGAGTAAGGGCTTCAAACTTATATGTGTACTCCCTAATCACTATGCTTGTGGATTTGTATAATGTCTTTTCACAAAACAGAACAAACTGAAAAGACCAAAATGCTTCGTTTAAGAAAATTACTCCTTTTAATGTTATCTTATAAACTTTTTTTTAGAGCTTTATTTGGTATGGATTGGACAATTATTTGTTATGTTGGATAAGGCAGTTTGTAATGGTGGTTTCTAGGCTTGGTTCTATGTATCCATTGTTAAACTTTTTGAAGGCATACATAATGTTGTAATTATTGAAGTTATAGCTACTTGGTATTTTTTTTTCTTTTCTTTGAGATTCATATGTTTGTGGAATTGCAGGGAGTGGCTGATCGAGTCTGTCTTAGTCTCTTGCTTACTAGTGAGGGTAGTTGGGTTACTGTTGCAAGGGCATTGAGGTATTTTTATTTGATTATTTTATAGTTCATACCTCTTGAGTTTTGCCTGTCCTCTTGTTGTGGAAATTGGATGAGTGATTCATCTCACAATCACTCTGTCAATCTACTTGTGTAGCATCTTTCACACATGGAAGCATTGTGGCGGAGCTTTGATGCGAAAATTGATAAAGCACAGCCAGCCATTAAAATCAGGGTATATGGATGCTTTTACTGAGTATGAGTGCCATAATACATGAGTTTGAGTTTAGATTACTTATTACAGTTGGAGTTCTGGGGAGAATGAGTAGGAATATGGATTTTTCTAAAATTAAAAATGAAAATAAGGCAAAGATGGAAGGGTGTTAACCCAATAGAACAGGAAGGCTCACACGTCCGGGTCTTTTGAAACCTCATTAATAGTACTGAATATTCGCAAGTACTAAAGTTTTGAAAGGTTAAGTTTATCCGTTATAAATGCAAGTCAAAATCACATATATCCTTTAGTGATGAGTCGAATCTCTATGATGTAAAATTTTGAGTTTGAACGTGTTAACTAACAAAATTAATAGGTCACTAAAAGTTTTTAGATTTAAGCATTTAATGGGGTTGCCAAACAATCCTGTAGTCCCATCTCTTTTTGTTTCTTTATCCCCTAGTAGATTCTTTTTTCCTGTTCATGTAGTCCAGCATCAACTCATCAAGAAAACCCTTAATCTCTTTTTTGTTATAATGATCTGGGTGGAATTTATTTATTTAATTTTAATTTGCTGCCTATGATACTTGCATAGATTCATACGTTTGTATATAATGATTGGTTGTGATGAGAGTGAATTTGTATTGTTCCCTTCTGCAGCTAGGGAGAAAGCTATGTTTGTCAACTTAGAGTTTATAAAGGCTATAGTTACAGCTGAAGGAGTGCTGTTGCTTAATCCTCTCTGCCAGGAGGTTCTTCTGTTTGTGGATCAGTTGCGGCAACAACTTCCTCATAAAAGCATGTCCAAAAGTCAAGGAGGGGGTCAAATGGATGTACAAGATAATGAAATGCAATTATCATCTAAGTTTCAAGGTTTGGAGCGTGACCTCCCATTTGAGTTTCAAGTTCTTGAGATCGCATTGAAGGTTGTCTGTACATATTTGGACTCTAGTGTAGCTGACCTTGAGAGAAATGCTTACCCTGTGTTGGATGAACTGGTGAGGAATGTTAGCACCAAGAATCTTTAGCACGTGAGGAGTTTGAAAAGCAATCTGACCAGTTTACTTGCACGGGTACAAAAGGTATACATTATTGATTTCTTTTTTCTACTAGTTACAACAGATTACTTCATGGTGTTGGTGCACTTGCTAGTTATTTATTTATTTTTGTTTTATCAACTTTGATGTGGAAAACTTATACATGAGAAAAGAGGAAAGCCTATGTATCCCTAGTAGTCTATTTTAAATTGTGTATCTTCTTTGTTCCTTCCCTGTTTGTCTGATCTCTACTAATATGAATGAACCACTTTGATTATTTTCTTTCCTTTGTTTTGATTGCTAGATTTTTATAAATCAGTTTATAATATTTCATTTCCTCTTGCTGCAGTTCATCAATTTTGGCTGCAAGTGGTGTCTTGATATGACTGGATGGCAAGTGGTGTGTTGGTATGACTGGATGGCAAGTAGTGTCTTGATATGAACTGCATCACGTGGACAACAAACATTAGTTTGTAGATTGTCCACAAATGTTAAGCTCAAAACTTGTATTCTTAGTAGGTGGTCATTATTATGTACATGGTTCCTTTTTCATGTCTTATGTTTGTTAGGTATATACTATCCTTTTATTTGGCTTTAGTTTTCGGAAATTATTCTCTATTTTTTTTATTTTTTATTTTTTTTTCATTAATGCTTCTGACTCGCAATAGTAACTTGGGTTATTTGCTCTCAAGGAATCACAAAACACACCGAGTCATTCAATGTCTCTCAACTACCAAAGCTTAAATTTTGTTTTAAATTTTGTAGTAATCACTGTCTTTATATTGCCGGAACTTATGTTTACAAACAAATGTTTCTTTGATTGCTAACTTCATGCATAGTTGATGGAATTGAACTTAAAACATAGGAAACCTAATTCAAATAGTTGAAATGATGATGATTATTTTCAATTGTGTAAAGAGATATTCCTTCCCCACATGCTTTTATTGATTCAAAGAAGACTCGAGCATTTGGGAAAGTGTTAAAACAATTCATGGACCACTCTTTAAACTTAGAGCTGGATTCACCGATGCTTACAAACATTTCTTTTCCCAGAGTCCAACCCTTCACTTTCATGGGTAGCCTTTTCAAGAACTTAAGTGGTTGGAGATAATGGCTGAAAACCAATAGCTTCTCACCACTTGATTTGCACAAGCCTAATAGATTAAGGAAGAACTTTGCCTTCACTCATTCTTAAATGACTTTAAAGTATAATTTAAATGACTTTTATTCTACAAACTCAATTATAATTGGATTCAAATGGATTGGAGAAACGATACCGCCTCTTACACCAACACCGCCAAATTATGAAAATGGCTTGTAAATAATATGTACTTTGCCAAAAAATATAAAAATTCTCATTTAGAAGTATCTTGAAAATATGAAGAATGGGTATGTCGACAAACATGTCATACCTGTACCGGGTTGTTATCGAATTATAAAAAAAATTTCACTCAATTTTAAAATTACTATTACTTAATCAAGTCTATTGAAATTAATTAGGGTAATAAACTAGTTACTACAAGATTTAGTCGCTAAAAATTATTTTTAGTCGACGAATGTAATTCTCAATTAAATTATTTAGTCACCCAGTTGCTCATTGACTAATTGTCGGGAAAATTATTAGCGACTAAAATTATTTTAGTAGCCAATGAATACCATTCGACGAATAATAATTTAGTCGCCATAAATTTTTCTATAAATTTAATTTGAACTTTTATCGATTAAATTTTTAGTCATAGATAAATTATATCACTACTGTGTTTTATTTACTGATTAAAATATATAGTCACCAATTCTTTTTTCCATTATCAGCGACAAATTAATTTTGTAGCCAAACATCTAATTGACTCCTTTAGCTAGCAACGAAACTTTCTTGTAGGCAAAAGATTGTAGCTTTTTTGGTGACTAAATGTTTAGTCGTAAAAAATATTGACGGCTTTTTTGACGACCAAATTTTTTGTATGCAAGAATTTCTAATTTTTTGGGCTACTAAACATTTATTCACCAAATAAAATATATTTTTCATCTTATTATTATTATTTTTTTACTACAAACTATTTAGTCACCAAAAATATTTTCTTCCTTTCGGCTACCAAATATTTAATCGTGAAAAAGCCTTGATTTCCTTTTGGCTACGAAATGTTTAATCGTCAAAAACTTTCTTTAGTGTTTATATATATATATATATATATTAATTTCGCCACAACTTGTATTTATTCTGTGCAACCTGTACCTTGTATATAAGGAAAATAATAACAATTCAAGAAAATTAAACTTTAAACAAATTCGAAATATAATAGAAATTCTAAACGCATCAAGCATAATCCAACTTTAAATAATAATTCTATACAAAACAGAGGATTATACAAAAATCATGTCTTTCATACACAAAAAAAGAAATATCCATAATACCATGTCAAATGGTAATCTATACATTGCCAAAAGTAATATGTTATAAGCCAAAAGCAATTTGTATCACGCCAATAGTTATCTGTACGAATAATAGTAAACAAAAAAAAAAAAAACAGAGGACAACATAATAACGGATTATAAAAAAAACAATGTCCTCTGCACGTAAATAAGGAATATCCACTTTTCCACGCCAAAAACCATCTGTAAAAATAAAATTAACCATTAGTATTGATTGAATAACGTCATCATTTCAAATAATAAAAAAAAATTATATAAAACTCGAATGTATATAATATTTTCAAAATTGTATAATTATAGTCGTAATCATATGTTGCATGTCCGGACAAGTTCCTTCCAAAGTTTTCCCCTCTCGAAATGCAATTTTTCAATTAAGTTTAAGGCATTTTCAGCTCTTAACTCCCAACCTATGTGTCCTACTCACATGCCGTATGTCCCCATATGTTCTATTAGGCACGATGAAGCTGCCCGCGCAATCCCCAGAGTGGTTCAAGATTGTTTTGCATTTTCGGCTCTCCAATGCACTTTTTCGACTAAGTTTAAGGCGTTTTTACTACTCTCAACATACGTGTCCTAATTACATCCCATATGTCCAAACAGGTTGTACTTGTCACGAGCAAGCTGCCGGTGACATCCCTAGAGTGGTTTAGGCATTGTTTCGTATTTTTGCCCCCCTCTAACGCCTTTTTTCAACTAAGTTTAAAGCGTTTTCAACTCTAACCCCGAACTTACGTGTCCTAATTACATGTTATCTATCCCCACAGGTCATATTTATCACAAGCAAGCTTCCTGTGACATCCCCAGAGTGGTTCGCACGCTGTGTCGCATTTTTGGCCATCAGACGCCCTTTTTCGACAAAGTTTAAGGCATTTTTTACTCTAACTTCCAACCTATGTGTCCTAATTACATGTCGTTTGTTCCCACAGGTCATATTTGTCACGATCAATCTTCTCGTGACATCCCCAGAGTGGTTTAGGGGCTGTTTCACATTTGCACCCCTGAACGCCCTTTTTTGACAAAGTTTAAGGAGTATGTTACTAACTTTCAACCTACATGTCCTAATTACATGCCGTCTGTCTCCATAGGCGTATTTTATTGTATAAGCCAACCTTAACGAAGTACATAATATGAAATTGTATTACAAAAAATGGATGATTATTATTGAAATTATATTTGTCGTCCATTATTTTAAAACATATATGTGAGAGAGAAAAGGTTCCATCTAGGAGGTCAATAACCCATTCCAACTATTTCTAGCCTTAAAAAAGAATATTGGATCAACTAATCAAAATGAAGAATAATTAAAAAGTACTACAAATGACAGTTGAAAGAAAATAGAAGTTATTAGCAAAAAAATTATGCAAGGTTCCACGAGAATCAACAAAGTTGCATTTTGTAACATTCGTGACAAGAAACTTCATGTCTTTTACCGAAGAAAAAACTACTCGAGCAAAGGGCAGTCAATATGAAGTTATACTAACCTGAATAAACCCAAAACCTTTGTAGTGTCCTGTCTCAGGGTCAGTAGGTAGTTGCACAAGCTCCACGGGCCCAAAAGCTTCAAAAATTTGACAAGTCCCCATGAAGGACACCAATTTGTTATAAAAGAAGTTGCCTTGTACACTAAATTAATAGATTGCTATTCAAAAGTTCACTACGGTGAAGGACAAAAAATCTAGTAGGATACAAACCCATTGAAATTCCCTGACTAGTAGAATCTACATGCAATAAAAGTGCAAGGTAGGTCTGAGCAAAAAAACCACAAATGAGACCGATCCAAACCAAACCGGACAGTTTGGTTTGGTTTTCTCAATGCACGGTTCGGTCATAGTTATTAAAATAGGCAAACCGTATTTTATGGTTCAGTCTATCATTTTATAGTCATGGTTCCAATTTGGAATCAAACTGAACCGTTTAGCTATGTACACATAAATATTATATAATTTGTTATTTATAGTACACTCAAGCACCATGTTTTTTTTTTTTGATCGGCAAAGAAAAATTTCATTAAAAACATAAAATTTACAGGTACACGGAAATAAAACGCACTGAGAGAGATTCGAAGAGTAAAAATTCACTCTCCTACTACTGCTATTCGCAATCTTACAACCAACCCCTTAGCCTCACAATTTTATATTTTAAAAAACAACTAAAAATAAATAAATAAATAAAAAAACAAAATAAAAAACCAAACTCTTGAGCCCCCACCTACATCACAGCTACACACCCCAGCTACACACCCCACGACTGACTCAAATCTGATACACTCTTGAGCCCCACGCCTGACCCGAAGTACTCTGCACCACTCAACCTCCATTGCCGGACACTCAACCACCCGTCGAGAACCACCTGACAACAGCCTCTTCTTGCCTCACCATCGAGAACCACCCGTGACCGAACCTACTTTGCTTCACCTCTGAACATCGCCAGCCTCTTCTTGCTTCACTCAAGCACCATGTTAGTATCCCATATATGTTCATAAGTTGTTAATCCTACTCTTTTTTTTTTTTTTTGATCAACAAGAAAATTAATCGATAAATCAAAAAGAGAGTCGAGGATAAATCAAAATTAATCCTCCTCTTACAAATATGCTCTTGTATAATTGTACAACTAGTTGTAAACAATTATTTGTTTGTAAAATGATGGCATATTATTTAATGTTTGACCATGTTGTGATCATATTGTGAACGATGACAAAGTTTATAAAAATTGTGGTTCCAAACGAAACCAAACTATAGTTTAGTTTGATTCCAAGATTTTCATGGTTTGTTTGGTTCCAGATTTCATGGAATTGTAGGTAGTTGTGGTTTGGTCTTGGTTTACTTCAAAACCAGTCCAATCCGAGTTCTGAAAAGTACAGAATAGATACTTATCCCATGGTTGCAAAAATGAGGTTTACATATTACAGAATGATCAAGCAGAACGATGAGTTCAAGCACTAGAAAGTACAACTTCTGAACACACGTTCTCGGGGAAGAATACAAATGTACAGAAAAGCAAGATTGAGCATTTCCGAGAGTTGATGTGACAAAAAAAAAAATGACGGCCTCAAAGCAACAAAAAGGTGTCTACTAAATCTTAAACTCTCCAAAGTCACCTTGGCTAAAGCTATTAGCAACTACAAGCTTAGCAGCTATGATTACAGCTCCAAATCAACAACTATGATTGGCAACTCCAAATTAGCAATTATGACTGCT